GAATTTTTTAAACAAATCCTTGTTTCCTTGACACCGTAATTACCACTCTAGGCTCGTCTCTGCAGTAACTTTTTTAGCATAAAATTCCACGTCAGCAATTAATTGGAGATTTCGTGCTTTGAAGTGAGTTGGTCCTAAACTTTCCGCCGTACGTAAAAGACATGCCAGGCCGAAGAAAGTACCGGGCAAGCCCCGCCGGTTTCTCCAAATTTCTAAGGTAAATCAAGATATCGCATGCGATTGATTAATATATGATTGACTGCTTTGTTCAACTGAACGCCCCACCGGTATATCTAAGTTTCTGGAGTAAATTATGATAAATGAAGGGCAAACAAACGACTGAACGATGTAGAATTCAGTGCTTATTTCAAGCGCATCGTAATCTTCGTTCGTGGAAAATCATAAACTCGCTACTTTAAGCGCCGTTCAAACGGGCATGATAATTGATGATGGTTTCAACTATCACGCGCATTCGAACACGAACCATAATGCACTATGATCGACTATCGCCGATTACCGTCAACTATCATGCAGTGTCGACATGATAGTGTATGATTGCGGAGCTCGCAGAGCGTAGCCCCATAATTATACAAAATAGTAATAACCCATCAAGCCGAAAAAATTTGGATGTACAACCGTACGACCGTACAAGGTGTATACTTTCATCATGCGTGGTCAACTGTACCGCGGGCAACCAACGCCACGGCTTTGTTCAGTAGTCCTGTGGTCAGTGCACTGGGCTCCGAGTCAGACGACCCGGGTTCTAGTCCTGGCCGAGGCAAGGTGTTTTGCCCTTGAAACGTGCAGGAACAAAATGCGAGCTACGCTTTTAGGCTTGGCTTAATCTATATATTAGTTTTTCGATTAGCAGTTTTGCCAAAAATGGACTTAAACCAAAATGACAAATGGGAACTAATGACGTCAAAATTTCTAAAAATGTCTTTTAGTTCATACTCATCATCTTCTGGTAGGCTTAAGTCTCTTCTACTCACAACTCGTCGACTAAAATTTCAAAATGCCACCGAAATTGCAGACCTCAGCGATCTCAGTGGAAATCTCATCACGTAATTTTGTCATTTTGTCAAAAATCGTCAACAATAAGGATGAACCGTCTGAACGCGAACGTAAAAGTCAATGATTGCCAGAGATTATATAATCTATTGAAAATATATCATCTATATAATGAACCTTTTGAACAGGGTTTTAATGTTTATGAGAATCGCCAAAATTCGGCAAAGAGCGATTTCTTTTTGAACACGCAATTAAATCATTTTGCTACGTTTGCTTTCTGATTAGTATCGATAGGGTTGCTTTTCCAATAAACTGTCATGCTAATAACTATGTCATCTGATCAAGTCTGAACAGAACTCGCAGAATCAACCAGTTTGTGGTTTCTTGATTAGTTACAAATTGGTAGATAGCCTTGAGAACATTTTCTTCTGCCTACAGATTTGCCAATGGCGCTTGTAGGCCCAACATTCTCATTATCTCAAACTATACGTTAAATGCTCGTCTTTCTCACAATCCAAGGTTATTCTGAAATCTGAAGTTTGGGTTTTTTAAAGTTTTTTTGGGGGTTAATTTGGCTGTATAGAAATACCACGACCGCCAATGACGTGTTGGTGCAGATAGACGAAGTAACCTCTTTAGGATCAACAACAATTGTTCTGAGGATGACTTATATATGAACTATTCTTTTGTTTCAGTTGTCAAGGAAATCGTTTCTGTATCCTGATTGGTCTTTGTCTCTTCGTTGTTATCTTGGTTTGTGTGCAAATGAGGCTTCTGACTGGAATATACAAGGGGATATTGGTGGAGAAGTTCTATAAAAATGATCAAGAGCTGAGCCAGAAAAAGGGCTCTTTACATACAAGAGGAATGCGAGGCCAACACGAAGAGAAGAAGCGACTGAATGTGATAATTCTGACCCATATGAGTTCCGGTTCATCTTTCACCGGGAACATTTTCAATTTGCATCCAGATGTGTTCTATCTTTACGAACCCCTTCACGATTTAAGAAAGGTTGAATATGAAGAAGACTGGATTCCGTTGAACAAAACCATGAACGATGCGTACAAAATTGACTTTTCCAATTTGCTTCGGGACCTTTTCACGTGTGAGTTTAAGGAAGAAACAACTCTGAGGAGAATTTTTGCTGAATTTTTGAATGTGCCAAAGCGTATTGCATTTATGTATTGGCGCTTATTGAACTCAGAAAACACAAATGAAACGGTCAGGAAAACTTGCTTAACAAAACATATAACAGCAGCAAAAATCATGCAGACAAGGCTGCCACGTGAAATCGGAATACAAGAACTACAGAACTTCTGTGGTTCCAGTGGTATGAAGTTCAACTGTTTGTTTATCCACCTCGTGAGAGATCCCCGCGCAATGCTCTCTTCGTTATTGAGGCGTAAATTTTTTATTCGGGATTCCAGAAATTTGATGTTTTCATCAAGAAACTTGACTTCGGCGGCTGCGGAATTTGTTAAGAAAAATGCGCAATTATTATGCTCGCAGGTTGCTGACAATTTAAATTATGTCAAGCAAAACTGGTATAACTTTTACGACCGTTACACGCTCTTGCGTTATGAAGATATCCTCACGGATCCTTTATTCGCAACGAAGAAGTTGTATAATTTTGTTGGTCTTCCAATGGTTGAATCTATCTACAAGTGGATCGTGGGAGGTAAACAATTTGTTAACACGACTGGTTCCCAGTTCTCACAGAAGATTGTAACTAGAATTGATCACTGGAGGTCGGAACTAGATCCCTCTCTGGTATATTTATTCGAGGAGGCCTGTAAACCTCTAATGAAACTAATGGGATATATTTCTATAAATGACCTTGATCAAGCTGAGCAGAAGGACAGTCAGTTGTTAATTACTGAAGAAATACCAGTTTTGGAGGAGTTGCCATTCAGGAAATATTGAAGATATATTGCAGGGAATCAATAAAATTTGAAATAAAGCACTGTGTGGCTGTCACAATGGGTGCCGTAAAGAGAGGAAGAAGTGCGAGATTTATCCCCCTGCATACCCCGCCCCTAGGCCTATTTCAATCTAGTTTTAGCACATCCTATGATACTCCTCGTAAATTCTTGCTTTGGAGAACGGAACGAAGTCCGGCGATGGGGTGAAAAGGAGTATTAGGGGTATTTTATTGATAATAATATTTGTAACGCTACTTATCCTTGATAATCATTTTATTCAATCATCAATGCGTCAGTTTTTTTTCCTTATTTCTAAAGTAATAAGCTGCTCTGTTCATTTCATGACGTTACCTAAAAATGTAAGAATATAACTAGATTTAGCGATTTCAGTTCTTCATTGCAAGATGAACGTGGCAGTAAATTTTTAAAATGAAGTTCCACTCAAAACTGCTCTATAGAAAGGCTTAAAATCTTCGCCTCGACCCAGCTTAATCCGAGTAAAACAATGCAGTAGCTGTTCAGCAACGAAATATCTATTAGTAACTTCGAATTAATTTCCAATACTAAACTATTAGATGTCTCTTTCATTACGTATACGTGATCTATCACTCCAAATTATATTGCCAGGAACCCCTACGCAAACATCATACGGATACAGTGCCTTGCGAAGCCATAATGTCTCAAAAGGCGATAAGAAAGAGTCGCATCACAGCTTTTTCGTTCCAGCTATGTCCCATGATCAACTCAGCCAGCCTAACTCAACAGAGAGGTTTTTTTTCCGGCGAAGTTTCTATCGAATGGGAATGTAGCACCTCGAGGTAATGTTACTTCGCTTAATATCGGTCATGAAGGAAGGCGAAAAATTGTTTCATGCCTCGGTAATAGATCTTCTCAGATATTTGTCATATATTTCAGAGATTTTTCACAGCCATTTATCGATAGATTCCATAATAAGGGAACTCGCAGTTCACAGATAGGGAAGTGACTTCGGTAAACCTTGTCGTAATGTCTAATGTAATTATAAAAGGTGACTTTTATCACATTTGTAAATTGATTTTGTAAGAATGACCCCTTAATCAGGGAACTGAATTCTTTGGAAACATTTAGTTTTTTCGTTGATAGCCATCCTAGGATTGTTTTTACTAGCATCTAGAGCTTTTGAACTGCTACATTTAATCATCACTGTGGACATAAGGTATTTTGCGCACTTGACCATTTTTCTTGATTTTGAACTGAAAATTACAACGAAAGCAGGAATTCAGATAATGGAAATGCTGCTGGAGACTTCAAGGAGAAGTTACAATGACTTCAAACCTGCCTGCTAGAGGTAACATAAGTAAATAAACGCCCCAGGCGCTAAATCGATTTATTACGATATTGAACAAATACGAGTTGCTGGAGTTATGCAGAATGGGACGCAGATCATTATCACCAACTGTGAACCGTCAATCCACTTAGGGACCAGTCATCCGGGGGGGAGGGGATCGAAAAAAATTGGTTTTGTCACGATGAATTTACTTGATCCCCCATGAGGCTCTGTAATATTCGTTTGCCTCACTCCCTTCCCTTCTCCCCCCTTCCCCCTTTATTGGCAGTTAGTTGGCAGTCAATTTTATACAGTCCTCCCTTTATGTATTCTTTTGATGACGAATGCACCCTCCGAACCGTTACCCCTGAAAACATGTGATCCACCCCAAACCAACACCCCACCCTACCCCCCCCCCCCCCCCAGGGCATGAAGAGTGATTGTTTACCATTAGTGTGTGTGGATTGTGTGGATATTAGTGTACACAAATATATATTTATATATTTTTTCTTTTTTTTTTCTTATGTATATTTTAAATAGTACAGTAAACTTTTTTAGTAAGTTCCCACCCCTACTGGAAACCAGCTTTTTATAATATTGATGATAGGCTAGCGTGTTTAAATAAAGTTTAACTATCTATTATTTATCTATCTATCTATCTATCTATTTGGTCCCTTATTCGTTCGTATTGCACAGCTGGACACTGAACATCGATTGCTGTCATCTTCCCCCCCCCCACCCCCTTTCCACTCTCACCCCAATAACTACATTCTCATTGGTTTATAAGCAGTGCAAAGCACTTTCATAGATATTTTGCAAGCCTTAAAGTCCCTCATAACTTTAGTTATTTCAAGCGATCGAAACAGAACTCTCCGTCGCAGTTCTAGTTAATCAATGATACCTATATGGTCCTATGCGATTTTGATATATCATATTCCAACCTACCCACTAAAACTACCAACTTTGTCTTAATATGTTAGGGTATATTTAAACAGTACTGGGTTTCTTAGAAATATATATTCATCAATGAAAAAATGAAAATGAAAAATGGTAAACCGCCACAAGCCGGCGTGTACAATACGCATTTTCCCTCCATCACTTGGCGTCGCCCTTTATCGATCTTTGAGTCTCTTATGTTCTAAATATAGCCACGTGGACCGGACTCGGTAAGGATCAAATCACACACGAATCTATAGGCGACGATGGAAGAACACGATAACAGGTTTGTTGTTAACCGCTCTCCCAAAATCGTGCGTGGATCGATAAAGAGGCAGTTAATCGTTTTTACAATGTTAATTGGAAATATTCAAATTTTCCACATCGAGTTTACAAAGAAACAAACAACAGTTTCTTGACTAACCAGAGTGTTCGCGGTGATGGGCTACTTTGGAAATAATAAAGTAATACTGGATTTACAAATCTGTTCGACTACTAAGAGGAAATTGGTCGGTGCGGTTCTCGACAGTATCCGCCGCTAGCTTAGGAAACAAGTTATAAGCGATATATCGAACTTTACTTTTAAGGTCTCTTTTCCTTAAAGTGTACGCAAGTGGGTTGAACATTGACGTACAGAGCCTAAGGTAATAGATAGCGAAAACAGTCATTGGATGTAAATTATCATTATGGGTCTGTTGCACGATTTCCAATATGAAATAAGGCAGCCAGAAGATGACGTACAGTGTGAGAAGGAGAACACATGTTAAAACAGCTCTCTGGCGCCTTCTTTGAAGCTTCCTCTCGCGTTTCTCAAACTCTGTAGGCAAATTCTCACGTGCAATTCTCTGACACTGACTTCGAAGCAGCAACAGCATGTGGGTATCAAGTACACTCATGATAATGAGTGGAATCAGAAAAAATACGATGACGTTAAACAGAAATAGTGTAGTCTCCTTCTGGTGCATAGGTTCCAGGTCCTCTCGGGCTGTTTCTATATTGAGGTTCCAAGTCCATGAAAGTCGAACCAAAGAGGTGAGACTGAGAAACCACGTAATGCCAAGGACGATCAAAACTCTTTTACGATGGACGATATCGCGGTAGCGTAACGCCCATACGATATAGATGTAACGATCGCAGGTCATCACAGTGATGTGAAGCACGGTGGAGAGGGCCATGAATGTGAAAAAAGTATATGAGCTTATACAAATGGGAGATATATAAGTATAGGTACATGCCAAGAGGAGTGGAATTCCAACCAGACCTACCAAGAAGTCTGATACAGCTAAACTGGCCAAGATGATGTTGCTTGGCGTTCGTAAGGACGAATACGAGGCAATAAGAAAAATGACACCGCCATTAATCGGTAAAATAAACACCATTAAAACTAAAGCAGGAACTGTTTGAGGCGAAAAGGCAAAAGAGCTGTCATCTGTAGAATTTGACGACATCGTATTTCTGATCGTTCTCGAAATCACCTGCGTGGTGAAGATTTTATCCCCGTGATGAATACTCCTTTCTTTTCAAATAAACTGTGCTTGGTTTTCTGTTACAAGCGTATATTGATTCAAGTAGAACTGAGAGCTTATTTGGGCCTTTGATTCGAGAAGACAGTTTGGTGAAGGCCCTCTTTCTTTGGACGTCTGTCGTGATTGTATCTGTGAACAAATCAAACACAAAAAATCAATTCAATTCTCCATTCGCTCAATCTGATGAAAAAAAAATGAAAAGACTCTGTGATGTTGCCTTTCTGAAATATGTGTTGGTTCAGCTGCTTCTCTGGGCCTGATGTAATTTGCATGATATCTATCTATCCATCAAGATTTGATCTCCTTTTTAGGTTCGAGCCTTCAATCAAAATATATTTTTTGAATAATGAAAAATAATGATTAAAAGAAACAGTGCAGTTATATCAAAGATATTAATTTGTTAATCATCCAGTGGAATAGAATGCTTGCTGAGAACAATTTCATCTTTTTTTTCTCCGTTTATTACTTGCAAATTACTGTTTAACTCCAATTTTTTTTCTTAGGTCAACATTTGCAGATAATTGGTTGGACATGAATTATTTCTCTCCCTTTGAAAAATCCAAGATATATTTTCCATAGTGTTGGGCAGACATGTAATGAATGTTTAATCGGTTTACAAAATAGCAGATAAGTTAATGGCAGAGTTGCTTAAACCGCAATTTAACCTGCTCACTAATTTTTTTACTCTTAAAACATCTCCACAGATTCAGTATATTTTGAGTTTGCTGACTTTTAACTAGACACGTGACTCTCGACCAGTGTATGACAAATGAAGCTCCCATATGTTCCTTTCTATTCTTAGCAAAAGTGCCTTTCCGGGCTAAAGGTTTTGCAAAGATCTGCAGTGTTTACTTCAATTAATTTTCTTTTCTTTAACTTGGAAACAATGGACAATTCTTTTCATTTCTCAGATAACGTTAATCTGTTGAGTAAATTTCCATGATATTTATTTATACTTCTACACGAAATCGGGCCAATTTGTGATCTGAATCAGCGTAAAGATTTACGCATTTTTCGGTTTGTTTTCATACTTTTCTATGAACTGAAAAATCGACGCGCACGACTGTGTTTCAAAGAAAAAAAATAGTGTCTCTGAGAAGTGTCCAATTACCAGTTCGGTGTTTTACCGTTTCTAAGCTGCAGGCCTTAAGAATTCATTGGGTGCGTAGATGTGTTTACTTCGATCTACTAAGTACGATATAAATTTGTTATGATTTGGTCATGGACGACCATGGTTCAAAATCACTTTGGTGAATACAAAGCGTCAGGCTGTAGACGGATCCTCCCTCTTTCCGTCGATGCAATAAAGATAAAACATATTGTGGTGTAAAAGAATTAAAACACTCAGTGATCAAAGCCAAATAAATGCCTTTAAGCTAGGATAAAATATTAAGATCTTTCTCAAGACTATTATTTCTAGTCGCAATTAAGATAAAAAAGGAATTGTTCGCAGCTTATTTCATGCAAATATCGATTGAAATTTGATACTCAAGTTTTCGTCACTGCAATTACAAGTAAGTTTCACCAACCTTATTCTCTATCGTTAAAAGCCAAAATTTAATATGCACAGGCCGCCTCCTCAAGAGAACTAAGCTTGCCTCTGGCACAGTGCTCTTATAATTTCGAGTTGAATTGCGATTGTAAATATCAGTTATTCCCTGCTGACAACTTTTGGTAATTGTAGGATCCAATTATCTCTTTAGAAAGTTTCCGTTTTCGATATATACAGCGCTGTATGCCTCTTTAGATCTGTTTAATTATTATTATGATTTTACGCAAAAATAGAATGATTTATAACGAGAAAAAATGCAAATAAGTATGACCTCTCGTTTTTCCTTTCTTACGCAAAATGATCGGTTATGTTCTTTGAGCTTTATGGGTCAAATATTGCAATAGTTTTGTCGTGTTTTTGTTTCATCTGAAAACAACAAAAAAAAAACAAAAAAAAATAGACAGAAAAGAAAAACCATAAAAACAAAAAAGCATAGTAGTAATAATAGTTACTGTAAGGCTTAAAAAAAAAATTTAAATATTCACAACCAAACTTTCTTGTAATCAGATCCAAGTCGTTCGTATGCAAAATATGGCCGAAGGTCAAAAATTGTTCTAAACAAGGCAGGCAAAATTACAGCGCTAGAATTTCTTTGGCCTGATTAAGCCCTCTATGGAAAAATAATTTGGTTCCATGTCCGTTGTAAACGCAGTATGAAGTTACGCGCAATTTTTGTTTTTCAAGCATTCTTATTTATTTTGTTAACAAGACCAGCATTTATTCTATTCATTGTCTGTATTTAAAAGGCAAATGTCGTCGATTAAAGCAGAGAAATTTTCCTGTAATTGCAGCGGCAATAACATTTGGTATTTTGTACCATTGATACGACTTTCTTTTACAAAACTTTTGAACCTCCGCGCTTATTCATCCAATCAATGAGGAAATAAGAAATATTTAACAACGTTGCATACTTTTTAATTCAAACTTGAGAACATTTGGTAGTTTATCACGTTTTTTTCCAAGCGCCAGGCTGAATTAATGAAAAAAAGGAAGATTAAATTGAAAACCGCGTTATAGAATCAGGCTAATATTGGTTCACTAGGTTTATCTAATAAATGCAATGAATAATTTCCCCTACCTAAGGTGTATGCTTTGCCAAAATGATAATAGCTCCAAGAAAAATAATACGCCTGCAAACGGTATTGTGTCTTTTTAGTGTGTCTAAACATCAAATTGTGATGAAAACAATTTAGGAAAAGTTTACGCCAACTAGAAACAGCTGTATTCTTCAATCAAATAGAAAATTCTCGTAATTTTTAATTTGCATTTGTACTTTCCCTCTTGGCCTTTCACGGAGAACTATATCCTCGTCTAGTTCTTTTCTAATTTTATCAGGAAATTTCCTATTTTTGAAATGTGAGCTTGCACTACCGCTTTTCATATTTGAGAACGGAGATGGGATGGTACCACATGGAGCGAACCTTATTCGTCGTGACGGTCTGCGAGGGAGAGATCAATTATCTGCGCAAAAATATATTTTAAAAATTGACTTAATAGACGCCCTTCAAGTCTTTGCCATCAAAACGGTACTTTCACAGCCAGCTGTCTATGAATCTCATTGTCAAGCTTTCCCTCGGAGGTTGTGTATCACGCAAATTTAGTGGATGCAAGGATGACCTCACACATAGCAGTAATTCTTAGATTATCACAGAGTAACTCTTGTTTTCATCATACGCTGTAAGAACATTATCTTTGAATCAAACAACGGTGTTTCGCAGGGGAAATAAATATGAAAGATACGCAATGCAGTAATTCTAAAAATAAATTATATTTGATGTCTCATAGAAATGACTATCACATTTTGAATTAGAAATGAGTGTGTCTCCAGGCTTATTGCAAGTATATTATGCTACACTTCACCTGACCTGAAGACTTAGTTTGTTAGCGTTCTACCAAAATTTATACAGTGATTTGATGTTCAAATAAATAAATAGAATGAGAGATGTTTAGAGTAATGCTTCCCGGTGAAACCAGCCGTCGACAGAATTTCATCATCCGGTCAATTTATCGGCGGTAAATGCAACAATTATTTTTAATATAGAAGTGATCTTCGAGAAATTTCAGGGACCGAACCTTTTTTTTCTTATAGCTGAACGCTTCAGAGGAAAAGGAATAATGTCTCTCTTCGAAACAGGCGATGAAATAAATATCAACGTGATTATTCAAATGTGAAGATCTTCATCGAATGAGGCATATTTTTTCTTAATGGCAGAAGTTAAGCTGTTTGCCTGACATGAAGATGAAATCAAGATCTACATGATTATTTAAATTTGAACATTTCGTCCGCCGAGGTAAATTTGTTCTTAATGGCAGAGGGTTAGCTGTTTGCTTGACAATTAATTAATCTCTTGATTATCATTTAAAATGTTTGCGTATTTGTAGCCCTGTCTATCCGTCTAAGAGAGCCGATAACGGACAAAACAAGATTAAAAAGAAAAAACGAAGCTAAACAAAACAAAACGAACAATCATACAAAGATGATAATAGCCAAACCATAAGAGGAAGGCTTGATGCTCCGTGCGCGTAAGGTAAGGATTCCGTAGCTTCGAAGTATACGCAAATCACACCACATTTTGAATTAGAAATGACTGTGTCTCCAGGCTAACTGCAAGGAGTTACACTACTCTGCACTACACTTCACCTGACCAGAAGACTTAGTCTGTTAGCGTTCTAACAAGACTCATACAGTAATTTGATGTTCAAATAAATAAATAGAATAAGAGATGTTTAGAGTGATGCTTCCCAGTGAAACCAGCCGTCGACAGAATTTCATCATCCGGTCAATTCATTGGCGGTAAGTGCAACAGAAAACAAGTTGAAAACGGAGCTTTTCGAAAACGCTATGACTAAATGCACGGCAACTGGACACGGTCCCAAGAAGACTAAGTGCCCGGCAGTCAGAATTTTTCAGTGTGAAGTGATCTTTGACAAATTTCAGGGACCGAACCTCTTTTTTCTTATAGCTGTACGCTTCAGAGGGAAGGAAAAATGTCTCTCTTCGAAACAGGCAATGAAATAAATATCAACGTGATTATTCAAATGTGAAGATCTTCAACAAACACTTTTGATAATTAATCTCTTGATTATCATTTAAAATGTTTGCGTATTTGTAGCCCTGTCTATCCGTCTAAGAGAGCCGATAACAGACAAAACAAGATTAAATAGAAAAAACGAAGCTAAACAAAACAAAACGAACAATCATACGAAGATAATAATAGCTCAATCATTAGAGGAAGGCTTGGTGCTCCGTGCGCGTAAGGTAAGGATTGCGTAGCTTCGAAGTATACACAAATCCGGTTCATGAACAGACTTGTTAAATTTCAAAACTGAGTGTTAACAACCAGTGCTGAAAAGCATCGCAAGTCCTGCTTACATAGGCAATGTTCTAAATACCTGCTTATTGTGTTGCGTCGACAACAAATATTCCAGACTAAAACAGGAACAAATGATTGTTGTAGGCGGATTTGGGAAGGAAAATCTAAAAGGGCGTTCCTTTGACAGGATCCGGATTAAGAATTGTGATCCATGATCACAAAGTTCACGGTACATCAAAGGAACGGAGCATTAGTTCATCGGA